ACAAAAGCAATTATTGATCTTCCTGTTAAACCCTGGAATCATGGCAGCGAGTGGTGGTGGCGAAACCTTGCTTGCACGGCCACTGACTGGATACCGTGGGCGGTTAAGGCTTATCCGACACTCTGGCGCCCTACTTTCCTTGCTCCATGACTTGACCGGTTGTGTGTCTCTCCCAGGAACGTGGGAAAGGGGAAGAATCAATGCGGCGGCAAAGAAAAAAGTTGGAAGTGGATATTCAATTCTCGTGACTTGGCTACGCCGCAAGCCATTCAGCCGGCCGGCCAGCAAGCAAAGCAGGCATTGCTGGGGCTGCTCTCCTTTGAATTTCCGCAACGTTAAGCGGGTGGAACGGCTGTGGTGTGATAATTGTTTTCCGGCGGACCGCAAAGTCCGAGAGGGGGAACGAGAGTCGAGTACCTAGTATGCAGTAGTCATGTATATCGTAAACAACAAAGAGCTCGTGATTATGATGCGATTTGCACAGCGACGGAGAGAGACAGAAAATGCGGTAGAAACTTCGATGTTCTTGTTGTTGTTGTTTGCGCTATTGGGTATCAATTCCCCTCCCGCTTGAACGACGAAATCAGCCGTGGAAAACTCCTTTCTCTCTTCTAGCTGGAAGAAAAGCGGAAGACCAAGCAAGCTATATCAGAAAATGTTTTGCGCCAGTGACTCCTTCTCTTGCATGCGAAAAACAAGGAAAACGAAAGCAAACGCTCGATGCTTAACAAAATGGAAAGCAAAACAGAAACCAGGCTATGCGGGGAATAACTGGAAAAAACAGAAATATGGAAAAGGAGAAAAAACCAGAACGCTGAGCAGATGCAGATGCAAAAAACCAATGCAAGCCAACCCGATGATGATGATGATAAAACGCAAAACACCGGCATCCTTCTTTGAAGCGAGAGAGAGCCCCCAAAAAATTTCCCTTTTCCCGTTCCAGATCAAATGTGAAACACAAACGCATATCGCCGTAACTCGTGCGCTCATTACATGTCATCCCTCCACAGTACAGGCCTTACGTGAAAAAACAAAAGGAAGATGGCAGAGAGGGGCCGGCGAGGGGCCGAGGCCGAGGTCGGAGGAGCGTAGTAGGAGAGAGGTGTCGCTGACGGACACGTGGAGATCAGGAGATGCGATGCCTTTCGGGGCAGTCGTCATGAGTCGTGTGTCGCGTGCGTTGGTCGTCGAGGAGAGAGGTAGGTAGATGAATCATCGCAGTACTTCTCGGAGGTAGTAGAATCGTTTGCTTCGTTCGTTCGTGATTTCGGAGATCGAAGAGGAAGCCAGGAGGTGGTGGAAGAAGCCGCGCGGCTCCGGATAGCTGAGGGCCCCCGGCTATCTGGGGTGGTTGTTGCGCGGCGGCTTGGGGGTGCCGGTAGTGTCGTAGCCTCCACGACCCATGTCGACCATGGTCGGGATAGCAGGATTTCTTGAGCGGCTGGAGTTCATCTTCTGGAAGTTAGTCAGCACATGGGCGACGGCAGCGGGGTTGATGGTGGCAAACGTACGATGTGATTGATAGCAAAGCGGGGGCGAAGGAACGGCGCGGAACACAGCTGAAAGGACCGAAGGAAAGCTGGCACAGAAGCGGAATGAGATGCTGCAAATGTCTGATGTGATGTCTTCGTTGGTGTGGGAGGCGAATTGGCCACAATAAAGAAGGCGCGAGCTGATTGATGTGCGGACAAGGACCGAAAAAGCGGTATGGCGATGGTGAAAATTATCAGAGAGTCCCACACCGTCGTGTACCGTGGATCGACGCCGGCGAACGCTCAGACGCCAATAGAACGCATGATCCCCAGCCGACGCCGAGTCATGGCCGGGCGGCACGCGCTCTGCCATGCTCGGCGGGAGAGCAGCGCTACTCGGGCGCCATCGTCAGCGCCCTCTGCGACACACCGACGACGGCTGGCGTCTGACCGGCGGCAGGGCGAGCGGGCTGCGCAGGCTGTGGTGTTGCGGGGGGAGGCCTGCGGAGCGCGGGCCATCCGTTTGACCTGGGAGACCTCTTCTGCAGCCAGCGTCCCCCTGGTCCCTGTCGCCTGCAAGTGCTAACTAGTTGGCAGCGCTTGGGGCCGCGAGCGAGTAGGACCGTGAGCTGGCATGTGCTCGCTTCCGTGGCACTGCGCCGCGGCCAACGCATCAAGTGCTTCAGCTGAGTTCACACGCGGCCCGAGCCGCGGGCCTACGGGGACGGTGCGGCACGCGCGCTTCGCTCTAGCAAGGAGATGCCAGCGAGCCTGCAAATTTTTCGGAACGCCCGTGAGGCGACTGTGTGATAGATCTCATGCCGTCGCAGGGCTGATGCCGGGAGCAGCGTCGAAAATCCTCGCCCTAGCGCCCGTGTCAGCAACGTAGCAACCCACTTGCCAAGGCCACTTACGGATGCACCCGGTCAGACGACGTGACACGGACAATCGTGGGAGTTGGTGGAGTTGAATCTCGTTGACGCGCTTGCCGACGTAATCTTCTTTTTAAACCCGACCCCGGCAGCGCCCCTGCGCCCGCAGCCCGGGGTGCGGCATGCAATGTGATGTGGCGCGCTGCCGACGACTTGAGCCGCCAACGTCAGCGTTGCGCGTCCGGGACCACAGTGCCAGAGGCCTGCCAGAAACCGGCGTCCAGGGAGCCTCAATCGTCGATGGCGGGGCGCCGCGTGCGCGTCCGAGGTGCTCGCGAGTGGTCGGCGGGCGCGCGTGTGCACGTGCTGCGGCTCTCAAGTCGCGTCTGGGGCCGGGGATGGTGTGCTGCCCTGGTCGATGATTCGGAGCCGGTACATTGGCACTCGCAAGCCACAGCCGCGTACCATCTCCGGCGCTGCCGTCTCGGGAGCAGGCGGGTCTGATTGGCCGGTCGTTAGTCGTCCGCTTGGGGGAGGAGGGGAGCGGAGGAGGGGTTGGGCGCGGGCGCAACACTTGCCTTTAAGTCTGCGGCACAACATCTTCTTGGTGGCGCCGAGTCAGGTTCCCACTGTTCGCATCAGGACTAACACTGCCCGTGGCAGCTGCCCGAAGTTCGAGAACGCTGTAGAGCGTGGCGGCGAAGGGTCGGGCCGCAAAAACCTGGCGATCCCCATGACCGTATGACGAGCCCGAGGACCGGGTTAGGTGGTGGCTAGACGTCTAGTCCGGTGCGGGCAGGCCGTCTCCGCGGGCAAATTTGTACGGGCGATTAGCCGTCGGTGTTGTGTGTGCTCGCTCGCCTGTTGTTTAGGCGTGCCTCGTCAACCCTCGAAACATCCCGTTTCCCTCGCCAATTTGCCGACGGCGACAATATATAAAGTCGAGAGCCCGCTGCTCGGATGCTGCCACAAACGGTCACGCGGGGCCTGCATCCGTTAAGCGCCGGAAGCGTTGCGAGATTGCTGCGGAGATCAGACTGAGCAACACCCATCCGGACCCCACCACGACACGTCTTGATGTTGCGGTGAAAGACCGTCCGACGCAATTTGCCGCAAATAGAAGCTCGTGAGAGAGTCCAGAGGCGAGCCGGCGCGGCTGTTGCGGTCAACGGCGGACTTGCGGTGTCGAAGTCACCAGCTCTCACTGGAGCAAAGTTGCGACGCCGACGATCCCGCACTGGCTGTGGCTATTGTTAGCACAAGGCCTCGAGAAATAGCAGCGAGATGGTGGTGACACTTAACCGCATCGCGACGCCTTCCGACGGCACCCGCCGCTGCCTGCCGGTCGCCGTAATCGTTCCGCAGGCCTCAGTCCGGCATTCTGACCGCCCCAGCCCTGCGAGCACGCTCGAGAAGAAGCTCGCGGCCGTGCCTTGGCGGTGCGGCGTCGCTGGTCCGCTGCGGAACCGGCGGGCCCTCGATTCTCAGCTCTTGCGCGGCCAAAAGAGTCAGCAGGCCACTGGAAGAAGTGAAGATCATCAGGCGTACTGGGGCTGTGAGTGCTGAAATGTCCGCATCGGGGCGCTCATGCATCGTCCATCGTCCTCAGAGTGCTGCGCGTGCCGCCGTCGCTGAGCCCGTCCAGAGAAGCGCAAGTCTCAGCGCGGTAGGCTGGGGACGGGCGAGTTTTGTACCATGGCGAACAGGCCACTTGGGAGCCGGCCAGACGCGTCCTGCTGCCTGCCGCTGCTTTCGTGTCCTTCTGGGCGTGCTGGTGGGTGAGATTTGCTTCGCTTACTGGCTTGTGTAACTGTGATGAGCCAGCCAGAGAGGCAGGAGCCCACCGAGCCAGCCCAGAGGGAAGCCACTCGCAACCCTGACGCCGATCCGCGTTCATGCAATTGCGAAACGCCCTCCGTCCAAGGCCCGTTCTGGCCCGTCGACGATCCCACGCAAGCCTTCCGTTTTATAGCCCATCCGCCTTCCACTGTTCGCGCGCCACGCTGCCCAGCCAGATTGTCTCACTCGGCTCGTTGCCGATGCCGCCCTGTGCTCCCTTCGCCGCCCTTATTCCCGCCCAATCATCGCCCAAGCATCTGTCATCTACGCTAGCGTCGTGTCTATTTTCACCTCATCTCGTCTCCACAATCCTTCCAACTCGGTCCTCTTGCAGCCCTATGAGTCCTGATTTTGCCAACTTTTAACCTTCTTGATCCTTTCTGCAGGTCCTATACAGCCTTACCACATATGCTTATTAAACATTTGTCGTCTTCACATGCTGCTGCGTGTGCGACTGAGTCGGGAATAAGATTAGCATCCATTTCTCCTTCTAGCAAAAATCCTGCGACTGTGCCGCGTAGCTCATTCCTCATTATCTCAGAACCGCAGAAAAGAGCAAAGCTGATTACTGATATGAAGCAAGCCAGCAATTAGAACGGTCCAGATTCTCCCGTCGAGTCCTCCTGCAGCTAGCCGATCTGCTACATTGCCGAAAGCACCTCATATGCCGAAATCCAGAGCGATCATCCACTCCCCTAGTACATCGTTTGCCCGTTTCGACCGTTGCCCCGTTATATCGTCTACCCGTTTCGACCGTTGCCCCATTATATCGTCACCGTAGCGCGTTTTCGTTTGAATCGATCCATCCTGCACTCGTTCAAGCAATCTGCCTGTCCCACTCCCTCACGACAACCCCCTCGAGGCCCTCAAGCGCCTCATCCACCGTGTTGCCGATCGGTCCAATGAGCACCAGCCTCTGTCGATACTCGGGAATACCAGAACTGTACGGGCCAATGTACACGTCAATGTCCTCGCCGTCGTCCTCGTCGTCGCCGTCGTAGCCGCTGCGGCTGCTGTTGCCAGAGATGTTGCCGTTGCCAGCGTCGTTGTTGTCACTGCGACCACCGTTGTTGCCCAAGCCAGAAGAGCCATTCTCAACCGCAACGACGCCGCCGTTTCCGTGTCCACGTCCATTCTGAGCCCTGATGATGCGGCTGCCGATGGAAGAGCTATTGCCGTTGCCGTGGCCTCGGCCAACGCCGATCAAGACGATGTCGTTGGTCTGGCCGAAGGAACCGCCGCTGTAGCTGCCGCCGCTGTCGGAGGCGCCGGGCACACCGCGCATGTCGTAGGTCAGATGGTCTGGCTGGTCGACCAGGAATAGGGCGGCGCGGTACAGGTTGCGGTTGCCGGCGGCTGTGATGGTCGTCATGCGGATGTGGTGGTGGCGGACGGCGGGGTACAGGCGGGCAGAGGTTTCTGGAGGAGGATCATGTCAGCGAGCTGTGTGCAGAGAAGGAAGATGCTGATTCGGCGGGCAATGGAGAGAGAATGTGGATGTGGTGGAAAGGCTGCCATGGATTGGGGTTTTAAGGGGAGGGATGGAAGGAGGAGGAGAAGGGCTGAGCAGAGCAGAGCAGAGCAGAGTAAGGCGGAACAGAGTCTCGTTTCTGGCTCACTGGCCACCAGACCTGCTCGCCCTGGCTCCGTCACCGCACTGCAGACGCAGACGCGCTCTTCCACTCCCACCCGCGCTCCCACCCCCCTTATTCCTGCCACCAAGCAACTTGGACGGGAGCACGTACCGAAAATCGACACCGTAACCGCGCGTCCGCGCGCGGGATCGCTGAAGTAGCCGACGCCAGGTCCGCCCGAGAAGTGGCGGCGCGGCTGCCAGTGGTAGACAGGGAACGGGAAAGACGGCTGTTGGACGACGACGGTCTGCTGGGCCGTCGGGAGCGGCTCGGCGGTGACTGGGAGCAGCGGGGCTGAGCTGGACGACGCCGCTGCGGGAGTGGGAGGAGGAGTCATGGCGGAGCGGTGCGGGCGGAGGTTGTTGTTGTTGGGCATGGTGCCGGTGGTTGACTCGTGCGAGTGGTGGCGGGCTGGATGCAAGTGCGAGACCGGCGGAGGGCGCGAGAGAGGAGGAACGAGTGGTGGAGGAGTGGTGGTGGAGAGAGTTGGCGGTGCGGTGCGGTGAGCTGGAGCGCGACGCTTGGGGCGGTGTTTGGGCGTCAGGTCGGCTGCGGGCAAGCGCTTGTCTGCGTGTGCACGCGCGCTGCGTTCAACACTTGCTATTTCGTGCTCGGGTGCTTGGAATTCTTGGAGATGGATTCACTGCCCGTGCAAATATTCGATGTCTACTGCCAGTACTGCGGACCTGGAGTGATGATAATTGTATTTCACACCACTCTTCAACGTGATGTTTTACGCAAGACAGCTAACTATCGAACAGCGCCTTCTTCGCCGACCCAAAAACAGAATGCTATCATTGAGCGCCGCGTGCCAGACGGTGATGGAGAAAGTTCAGCTCAGTGACCGTCACGAATGCTTCCAACAAACGACATCAAAAGGCAACCCTTTGCCACCTCCGCATTGCTACAAGGGAATGAGTGACCAGCGTATTCAGGTACAATAGTATTGCGTCGTTCTCTGAAAGCTGGAACGGCAGTGGATCCCATGACCACCTCTCCCTCTGCCATCTCATATGAAGAAGCCTCAGCGTCCTGTCCGTGATCTTCCAGATCAATGCGTCGTTTAGTTTCTGGTGTCGTTCGTCGTCGGGCCAGGATAGGAGAACTTCATAGAGCGCCTTCACAGCAACTTTGTCGTGCATAATCGCCTGGGACCAGCCTTCCGGAATCATTCTGATGTTCTTGACTTTTGTTGTCTCGTCGACGTCTACAGGGCACGTTGCGTCATTGTGTCGGTCTTCAATCATTTCGATCTCCAGCGGATCGATCTGCACCCATCGAGGTGACTTTTCTGAAAGCCTTTTCCAGGTTTGCCAGGTATCGGTCAACCATCCTGCCCAGCCATAAGGCCTCACAGGCCATTTGACTCTCTCGAGCTTGCTTCCGTCACCGGAAATGTCGATATACCTGTGCAAAGGTTCAAAACCTTTACACTGGTACATAGGCATGAAGCGCTCATAGCAGAATGGCTTCGGACAGATGATCTCGGGGACCTCTGCTGCCCTGTTGTGGTTATTTCTTTCCAGTTTTTCGTGCCTAACAATGTTCTCCATGATGTACTGCTGAAGGCAGGCCGCTCCGAAAACGTGGTCGCAGCGGGCCAGCATCGCCGGCCAGTGCAGTCGGTCTGTGAACTCCTCGAGGCAGAGGTAGCATTTCGATTCAACTATCTCGGCAGTTGGTATGATGGAGATGATGTACGAAGGGGGCAGCTCGCAGATCTTTAGATAATCGTTAAAGACGTTGTTGTTTTCGATGTAGCGGCCTTTGAACTGTGAGGAAGGTCGAAGAGCGATAGGACTGGGCGACTCGTCGCGTGCTTGAGCGACCGTGAGCACTCTCACGAGCTGGGCGTCGAGCCAATCTTCGGCTGCGGAGGGGTCTGAGACGGTGTTATCAGCCATGGGTAGAATTGCGAGAAAGTAATGAACGGGATTGTGCGTGGTGCTCGATGCAGTGAAAGGTATGCCAACAATGCTTGGACACGTAAGAAGCGGGAGGGTTGGTGGAAGATGCAATGCCGCCGCGCGACTTCCAGTGCAGCCCCCGACGGAAGCCACTTCCTCGATGTGGGAACAAATGATGTCACGCCTCACCAACAGCAACGCTGACGAACCAAATGGTGTATTCCATAAGCTGCTGTCGTAAGGCAGAGCGCTATTCAACCAGAATCGCCAAGTCCTCCCAAGAATGCCATGCAGTCGCCTCACATGGACCGCTCACTGCGGAACCCACCAATTCTCGCCAAGAGGGATTTCGCTGTTGCCCTCATCCTCGACTTTGACCTGGACCTCAGGTTCTGCCTGCTCAACCTCTGCGGCGCCATACTCAGCCATGAACCCAGCGAACGTCGCCTTGCGAGCATCCTTCTCCTCGATCTGCATAGCGCCATACTTCAATATGAACTCCGCGGAGAGCACACCACTAGAACTCCTCTCCTCGCGCAGCGCCATGTCCTTTCCGCCCACATGCTGCAGGCCACCACCCAGCGCCTGGTTCTTCTCCACCGCGAGGCGCTGCTGCTGCTGCTGCTGCACCTTCTCCTGCCGTCCCACCTCTCCCTCCACCTCCTTGCCGCCGTCGCCGCCGCCGCCGCCGGCACCACCACCGCCCTCCGCAGCCACGGGCCCACCACCACTAAACTTCCTCGCACTCTCCTGCATCAGCGACTCCCACTCGCTCAACACATCCTCATTGCTGCGTCCAGCAATCTTCTCCTCGAACTCCCGCCTCGACGAGAAGCGCCGATCGCCCAGGCCGACGGCGCAGCGGCGCTCGTGGTAGCTGCGCTCGTTCTGGCTCGCAAACGGCCAGTCGCAGCGCTCGCGACAGTACCACATGCGCGTCTCGCTGCTCGTGCCTTGGCGCTTGCGCATGATGGCGCGGAACTTGTTCTTGGCGGTGCGGGATAGCGAATCGAAGTCGGGCGAGGGCTCGTGGTCATTGCTGGTGGGCTTGCGGCGGCGCTTGGGGGTGGAGGGCTCGGTGGTGACGTCGTCCGTCATGGGGGTGTCGACAGCGGGAGGCGGCATGCCCGGACGAGGGGTGGGGGACGGTTCATCATTGATGGGAGAAGCGAGCTGGGCGGCGTTGGTGGGGGGAGTCTCGCCGGCAGCGAGATCCTGCAGGAAGTTGGAGAGGAAGGAGGACATGGCGGAGATATTGCGTCTCGTGTTTGGGATGCTTTCGGAACGCCTGCTGTGTTGTTTTGAGCGGATTTTGCGCCGTTGCACCCGCGCGGAGTGCGCGATGAGCGCTGTTTTGGTTTTCTTGCTTATCTTGTGCGCAGGCGGTGGTGGTTTCGGCGGAGAGAGAAGGGGGAGAGAGGAGAGTTGGGGGAAAGATATAAACAACAATAGTGCGCCCATCGCGACGACGGTCACGCGCGCCGCAACCATCTATAGCAGCGGCGACCCAGCTGACGAAGAACGGAGAAAGCCCACGGCGGTAGTGAACGAAGCGCTGAGATTCCATGAAAAAGCACTGGAGAGAGGGGAGGTTTCTCCGGATGAGCGCATGCGAGTACGCGCCAGGAATATCTCGAACCAGCACTTCTCGAACAGAATATCTTGGACACCGACAAGCACCCGCCCGCTCGAGCGACAGTGCCAGTGTCCCAAGGCCTCACTGCTGGCGCCCTACATGAGTGAGCAGTGCGCAATTCGATATATATGATGGACAGACAGGACAGGAACTTCAAGCACGGGCAGATCAGGTCGCATCACAAAGTAAGATTTCCATAGTTAAAAAAAATATAAGTTTTCTCTTATGCTAATGTCTCAATGCACGCTGTCCGCTGAGTCTTTGGCTTGAATCTCGCAGTCTTTAGATGCATGAGTAGGCTGGTTCCCGAGAGAACACTAGCGACAGTGGATCTTGGACGCTATGAGCACTGCGGAAGGCTATTGAAAAACCAGGCGCATTGGCTAGATAAGCTCCGAATTCTGATTTAGTGCGAAGATGAAGGAAAAGAGAGGAGCGTGGAAGAGGAGGAGTGGTTCTTTTAAAGGCGGCTAAGCGAAAAGCTATGCTCCATTCGGACGGCGCAGATGATCCAGGCACCGCCGCACAGCGCCGCCCGCCCGCTTGGCCGGCAGTTTGGAAGGTGGGTGATGGCCTGGAAAGAGCTGTGGATGGCGTCATCGCCGCGCTCGCTGCCGCTGTGCTCAGCCTTGGGCATTCTCGCCAGCTCCGTTTGGCCTTTCAGCCAGGTCGTCAGTGACTGATTCTGCAGCCACAGTGATAGCTATCGTTGCCAAACTAGATGGTAAACTAACTGCAATCTTTTCTAACACTGGAGGCGGCGGATCCGTGCATATTCCAGGCACGGAGACACTTTGGATTGCAGATGGACATCGTTTTGGAGGAGGCCGCCGTGATATCACGAACCGCGCAAACAGGTTCAGAGCGAGATGGTTCTATGCTGGACCACTGATTCTCGCCGTTTCTCTGACAACCCTGCGAAGCCAGCCGCAGTCAAAGTTTGTTCGCCAATTCTGGCGACGCTCGTGCATGTCCAAGCGCTCGCGGCCTTTTCTGACCCTCTTCCAAGCGCCTCCAACCCAGACCAACGACACTCACCAGCAGAAGCTGACCACTCGCTTTCGCTCAGCATCTGCTCATCAATTCCAAGATCTTCCAGTAAGCCCCAAATCCCCATTCAAACAACACCGCGCTCACATCTCAGCAAACCGCGCCCGACCCACCACCGGCAACCAACCATGCCGCTCTTCTACACCCCGGACCTCTGCCACCTCACTCGCGCGCGCGGCGTCGAGTTTCCAGTCAACCCGGCCCTCCTCTCCCCGCCGTTCTCTCCCAACCCGCACGACAGCAACTCGTCCGCCGCGCCGATCGCCACCGTCGCCGCCACCACCGCACCGGCGCAGCAGCTCAACAACCCGTCCACGCCGACGCACCATGGCCTGCCCGCCAACACGAACCCCACCAACAACAACGACAACCATGACAGCAGCCCGCTCAGCATCCCCGTCCGCGAGGCCAGCCACGTCTACCACGAGAGCTACATGCACGACATCGCCAGCCGCTCTGACCTCGAGCTGTCCGCCCTAACGGGAACCTTCCATTGGCGCGGCCTGGACCTGCTCAGGCGCAGCATCGCGTTCCACACCGGCCTGCTGAATGCCAACGACGGTGCTGCTGCTGCTGTCGGCGATGAGGCCGCTGAGCGCAAGAAGAAGAGGAAGATGAAGCACGCGCTCGAGAGCTCCAAGGAGAAGGCGATCTTGTTCGTGGGCGGCGAGGGGGATCTTGTGGGGGATAGGCATGGGGCGAGCGTTACGTGAGTGTCACTTGTTGTGCGCCCGCCTGCGGTGGCGGATGGATGATGGGGGAAATGTTTGCTGACGATAACAAACAGTGTCCCGCCCGCGCAGCTGCTGAGGCTGAAGGCCCTGATCGTCGAGCTGACGCCCGACCGCGTCCTCGGCACCATCCAGTGGATCGAAGACCACGACGTCGCCAACGTGTCGATCCAGCTGCGCCCGGCGTGCTTGGGCGCGAACCAGCAGTACTGCAGCAACTGCACCAGGCTCTTCTACGAAGTCGTAAGTAGTTTTTTTCTTGTTGTTCTGTGGGTTGGGAGAGCAAGGCGAGGCTGACCGGTCTCCGTACTGTGTAGAACCGTCCCGGCCAGTATGGCACCACCGAGCTCGCCGTGGACCCCTTGGGTATCTTCCCTTGCGGCCACATCTTGTGCAGGTGCTGCGTCGTCGGCTGGCTCAACGATGTCACGGCCAAGGGCAGGCGTGGCACTCAGCCGTGCTGCATCCGCTTCTCGCAGCCTTACTCCTACTACTAATCGGGGCGAAGTCCAATGCTGGGACGAATGGGGTCGGCGGTCTGCTAAAGGATGGAAACCAGACACTTTCTACAATGGCTTCATGATGGCTTTTTCGAGAAACGACAGGATAATGATTCCGGGATAGCGTTGCGCTGACGCATGGAATTTTGGACATCCACTGGCTCTTTCAGATTGTTCGAGAACTTGAAAGGTTCAAGCATTCATGTAAACTATGAGAAAATCCAGACAGAGACTAAAAGACAATGAGATGGCTATATAATTAGAGGTTTGCTTTCATCTGTTGTCGTTTAGAAGATGGAGAAGATCATCAATAAGCTGCGGGTGCTTAATGTTCAAAGAAAATATTCCTCACCACAGGTCATTAAATTTGTCTGCAAACTCTGGAGCAAATTATCTCTGAGATGTCCACCGACGTAGTCGCAATTGACTGTATTTATTTCTTTTTCACGTCCATATTATCCTCCTGACATACATACGTGCTGTGGTACCCGTTATGGTAGCCGGTGGAGAGCTGAGCTCACAATGCGTCCCACGAGCTCCCAGGACCGCAACGAGGCAATGGCATACCATATGGACACAATGGGTGTCAAATTTTTGCAATGCGTGTACCTGAAGATGCTCCCGAGCCCTAAGCATGTCATTCAATATTTTCCAATTTATAAAACTGTTGAAAAAAAAAGAGAGTTGCTAGAGAAAGGCGGGCGTGGACTCGGCATAGCACCGCAAGCAACTGGTAGGGCACGGCACCAAGAAAGGTATCTCTTGTGCTCGAATTACGGACTGTCTGGTATGGTAACAGAATTTATCTTGTGGTGGAAGAAGAGAACTATGCAGAGCCAGCCGTTCGCCGTCCGTTGTCCGCCTTTGCCGTTGAGCAAGTGGGTTGGAAATAGGCTTTTGGGACCACTGAAGCGGTCAACGCTGGGAAAACAGAAATGGCGCAACGTTTTGAACCAGCAGGCTCTTGAAATATTAGATAGCGACTTCACTCATCTGTCTAATCAGACGCCACTCATCACAGAAGAAGTTGATGGGATGTTCTTCCACTGCCCTACGGCATCGCCGTCAATGGTCATAATAGGAGATTTACCTCGCAGACGCACGAATTTCGACGCAGGGAGAGTGGATCAGACATCCGGCTGATTGGCGATGGCAGCTTTCAACAGCTTGACGACGTTGAGACATTGTGAAGATCAAGGAGATCCATGACTGGAAATTGGGAGAGTACGCGTAAAACGCAACAGAAAATTTCGAGGTACGCGTGGAGAGCAGGAAGGAGGTCTGTTGAACAGTGTAATCGATTTGAATTGAACACTACTGCTCCTTGGAATGGAAGATCTAAACCATCGCCCTACATATTTGAATTACTCGAGAATAACATGATTGTTAAGGAGGTAGATTGTGTATGTGGTGTTTTTTGCATAGCAATAAACTAGGGTTGTTCCTTGGAGTTGAGAAAAGTAATAAAAAGCGGAAATTGAACGCAAAAATAAAGATAAGCAACAATGAGGTTTGACGGTCTCCCTTCCACGAGCCGGTCAAGGTGGCCATATAGATCAAGACATAGGTGTTTCAGAGGCATCGTTCCGAAGACCAATGCACGATTCATGAACACACAGGCCTTTAGGTCTGTAAACTAGAGACGGCCCGCAAGTAGTGTAGAAGCGACAACAAGCAAGAAAAAGCGGATCCATGTTCTCACTTAGACACTCAGCTTGATGGCGAGGGTCCAGTGAGCAGAAGCCGTAATTGCGATGTGTGGTGATCGAGATCACAGAGCATTTCCAAAACGCCACGTTTGAAATAGGATTGCTAAATCAAACCTCGAATTACGTTTTTGTTAGGTGAACTGTGATCAATTGGGCCGAATTGCTTGCTTCTGGTAGGACCTTTCTTCCGCTCTGGAACAGATTTTCGCTACAGCGGATGCTTTGGTGCTCTGGAAAAGTTTTTGCCTATCACCTGCCGAATTATGCACGTCATCACCTGCTGGAGTCCACGCGCACAAAAGTAGACAAATTCCGCATGTCCCAAATAAATGACAGCAGGATATAAAAGGCCCCACTGAATAGCTTCAATGGAATCATCACAGTATTTTCTTTTTCAAAACGGTTTGATGCATAGGATCTGCCTTGGGTGTGCCTTCACCGGTATAATTTTCATCAAAGCGTCCTGCTACGATTCAATTTTAGTGTAAAATAACATTTGAAGCCGTACGATATGTTGAGCTTCAAGCCTGTCTGACATTTTTGGAGGTCTCAGAGCGGGCATCGGATGAGTTGCCCAGTCTCACTGCGCCGCAGATCTGCTACGACAGAACGCAAGGTGAAATCCACCAAAATCGCTACGCACCGCAGCATTTCAACTTTTTGCCGAATGCTATGGCAAAGCAAACGTCGAGAAAACGCGATGGCGATCCGTGCCTCTTTTGAAAAACCTCACTGTGCGAGGCTTCCGTATGCTCGCCCCGAGCATATTATAAAGCATGCGTTCACGGTTCCTATATACAATCCACAATTCCAAGAGTATGAGATGGCCTTGGTATATAAACACCTCCATAACAAGCACTCGAGCTGCAAAGCAACAGCGGCGCGCAAGTGTGCGCATGGTAGGACTACCTTGCATTCTTCACTGGGTCAGAAACGAATCAGAGCTAACTTCTGCCTCCTTGTAGCCCTGAAACAGCCAAAGCAGAGTCGACAGCCTGGGTAAACGCGCTTCTCTGCGGAACCAATCAGCACGCTCTGGCCGGAGCGCGAGAGAAGTCCCACCGCTCACTCTTCTGCATCCTCCTCCACCTGCCCGCCCTCTCTCTCAGCTCCGCGCGCCCGCTCCTCACCTCCCACCACACCATCCTCAACGCAGCGCGTCAGCATGGATATCTCAAGCAATCGCGACCGGTACGTATGCCCTGAACCCACCAGATCTTCCATCCTCCTGACACTCCACTCGCCAGCTCCGCCTCGCCCCGCCGCGACGACGACGACGCGTCCAACCACGCGAGCAGCTCTTCCTCCTCCCGCCGCCAGCTCCGCGACATGACGCCCCTCTCCAGCGGCCGCCCCTCCAACCGCCCTATCACGGAGCAAGACCTCCAGGGCTTCGTCCACGACCCAAAGGTCGAAGCCGGCCAGTACTACGAAGGCGCCCTCGTCTCGCGCCGCTCCCAGATGCGAGAAGCCTGCGAAAAGGCCAAAGCCGCCATCTGCGCCGCGTTGGAGAAAAATCGCGACGACGCCGCTGCCACTCACGCCAGCAAGCATTACCCCTTCTGGAGCACCCCGTCCGTCGTTGGCAACGCCGCGTCCGTCCCGTTCGCCCCGGCCAAGCCTCCTGCCATCTCCACCGCCAAGGTCATCCAGAGCGCGAACTTCGTGCAGAAGACGAAGCCGCTACGCGAGATCAACGCCGCGTGCCGCAAGGTGCACGAGGCTAAGAAGGCGGCGGACAGCAAGAAGGCGCGCGACATGTATCTGCTCCGCTCGACCAGCCCCATTCCGCAGTTCGCGGCCGACTACCCGCCTGACGTGTTCATAAGGTGGGCGGGTGGCAGGGAGGAGTTCAAGCGCAGGGCTAGGCTGATTGAGGGGGATTTGAGGGCAAGGGGTTTGCTGGAGGAGCGCCGCCGCGGCGAGTAGGGGGGTTCAGCGGGAGCACAAGCAACGCCGACGCGTCGTCTGGATATGGGGATGTTGGGGCTTTGGGGAGGCCATGTGTTGGGGTCGTTCGCCTATTACTACGTCCACCGATTGAGGTGCTTCGGAATTCTTCTGCGGGATGGCTGGCCTCGTTGCGGATGTCAATCAGGTTGATGCGGCGGCTAGCTATTCCTTTTCCTTCATCTATAGCTGGAGAAATGAGATCTTCATGTCCAGAATCGATCGTGACGTTAGAGTGAGGCTTTGTGCAAAACCAAGCGCGAGTTTCCTGTTCAATTGCCCAATTCTGAGAGCCGCAGACGGCCTTCTTGCCATACCAGACGCTGGTCCGCAGGGCTGGGCCGTCCTTGGTGTTGCCCAGCTCGTCCAGGCCTTCTGGCACGTTCTCTCTGGGCCCAGCATGTTCGTCCTAAGCCTCACCTGCCGCTCTCGGCTGCGCCGCGGCGGCGGTTGCCCCGCCGGCCAGGCATCCACGCAGCCAGCCCCACGACCCGGTGATGAGCCGCTAGCTTGCGGGTATAAAAGCCCGCCAATTCTTCTTCGCTTCCTCCGCATGCTCTAACCTAATAACCTAACAAAGGCTCTAGGACTGTAGCGGGTAACTGGTCATTTGACGCTACAGGGTGGTTTTGCAGCGACTGGACTATCCATGATTCATGGAAGTCCACGAGTGAAACCCAATTTTTGGAACACACACACATCACTCTTTGTGCTTTTCGTCGAGCAGCGTGCCTTGAGCATGCTCTGGAGGAAGAGCGAGCGAGCGAGCGGACTCCACCGCGCCCATGCCGGACACTCTCACAAACTGAATTTACATGCTGCTCTGCGATGCCCGCCCGGCGACCTGCGGACGGTTGCCCTGCCAGCCAACCGGCCCGTCGTATGATCCGTGATCCGGTGACGAGCCGGCTAGCTTGCGGGTACAAAAACCCCTCCTACTCTTCGCTTCTTCCCTCTTCTTTTTTCCCTCATAGTGGCTTGGGTTGGAAGCCCTTTTTGAAGTTTGCTGTTCTTCTCCGAAAGGATTTAGTGGTTTCGCAGCGACTGGGCTATCCACTGGCTCATGGATAGTCCATGAGCGAAACCCAATTTTTGGAAACCATCAGGGAGCTTGCTCTCCCGACAAGATTCTTTTCGTCGAGTGGCTTGCCTTGAGCAGGCCCTGGAGGAAGAGATGGCAGCTAGCAGTAGCGACATCTGCAAGCCTTGCAAGCCGTGCCTTGAGACCCCGCGCGCCCTGGACCTTAACATGCGGCTACATGATGGTGGTGGCGACGACGGCGACGGACGTTCGCCCTGTCCGCTGGCGCGATGCGTGGCTGTGACGCGATGAGCCGCCGATGGCGGCCATGAACCAACCTTTGCCTCTTTGCTTCCGCTCTTCTTTCTCAGCGAGAGAGACTGGTTTGTCTAGGGAGGCTAGCTTTTGAGACAACATGGATCCCTCCTCATGGAGCATCCCACAACACTTTGCCTTGCGTCAAGCGGCTTGCTTTGCGCAAGCGCTGGAGGAAGACCGTGAACAGCAAGCCTTGCAACTGGGTCATCCTGGAGCTTGCGCACGCGCAGTGGGCGGCGAACGGGTGAGGTCGCGCGAGCTGTGGTGTACTGCGCACACTCGCGACATGGGCTGCTTGCATGTCAGTTGTGACAAACCTGCTCTCACGTCGCGCGCGGGCAAAAGGTCATGTAGCCATAGTCATTTTAAACGCTGCTCAGGCGCGTCCGGAAACCCATCCAGCCGCGGCGAGAAAGTCGTCATGGCGCTGCGATCACGACCATCCCATCCATGTTAACCGTGGTGGCCGTCAAATGCAATGTAGTGTCCGCTTTCGAGGTCGTGCACCTTCAAGTTGGACTCAACTGCGGCCTCCTGAACTGCCTCGGCACCGCTGAGGAAACGAAATGCGACATCTTGCCTGTGTCTGCCTCCAGATTGTTGTACGTCTGATGCTGGCGCCTCAAGTCACTATGAGCGAATGCTAACCATCGGGCGAGGGCTTGACATTCTCTTGCGCAGCTCTGGCGCTAGAAGCTTGCGTCCCGTGAAATGTTCTGCGGGGCAGGCATAAGATGTCTTTATCAGTCATCTCCAACTCAGAAGTTCAAAGAAATTGGGACTGTGAAGGAAATATATCTGGAGAAAGTAGAAACTCAGAGCTTCTGCGCGGAAGACGCCACTTCAGAACTTCAGGATGGGCAGTCGTTCTTGAGCGTTTTTCCTTACTTTCGTGAGCTTAACAGCGCACAGGCTTCTTTTCCTCTTGTGTGATTTTCATAAATATCAGCTGTAGGCGATGGGAACAGGTCAAAATGATATCCCAGGTTCTTCCTTGTGGGACAAGAGCGGCGATGAGACATGGTTGTAGACGCTTCATTGCCTTGTTATTCTCGGGTCACAATCTTACACGAGGCCAACAGAAATACAACTTCCACAGGTTGGAGGAAGCAGGGAGGGATCCAACTCAATGTTCGGTGCCCTCCGCATGTAGCCCAACCTCCTACACGGCGGGGTGGCTAGCAGGTGTACTACCGCTTCATGGCTACGGATAGCTGTAGACATAGACCACATCAAAGACCCTTCCATGTTTGCCGGTGTACCTGGATTCATCTCCGCAAAGGCGCCTCGACTTTTTGCCAACCCAGCATTTACCAGCTCCACATCCATCTCCTCCCTCCTTGTGCTTGCGTCAGGCCAACACGCCCGTAGCTCAAACCAATCCACCTCCTTGAGGAGCGGGCCCCAGGCTCAGAAAGCTCACTCTCCTGTTGCTGTTCCTCCTCTCCTTCCTTGGCCGTCTCACCAACCCCCCTCCCTGCCTACAGACCTTTATCGGCGCGCGGTGGCTGGCCTGCGTCAGCGGCTGGCTCCTCCGTCTGCCTATCACCCACTGCCGCTCGCAGACCGTCGCCGTGTCCCACGGTCACGACAGCAGCCCCCCTCTTCTTCAACATCCTCTTCATAGCCTTCAAGTATGCCCTCCCCTCCAAGCCACAGCATCACATTCGTTAGCGGAAGCTATCTGCCTTCGTCCACACACTCTCTCTTTCACTCTCTCCCCCTGTCCAGCGTCATCACCACCAGTATCGACGCTGGTTGGCCACCATTTCCATCTTCCCTCTCTCCCTCCAGTATCAGCGGCGGCGGCAGCAGCAGCAGAAGCATGCTGAAAAACCCGGTCGGCGTGCGCCGCGGGCTTCATTGGGGAGAGTATACTGGGGACAGCGATCCGTGTAGATAGTTGTCAGGCGCGCGTGAGGCGGCAGCGGGCGATCGCGAGTGTGGAGTGCGGGTAAAACGCTGGAGGACTAGAGTGACGAATGGCCGGGACGAGTGGAGACGCCGCGGTGGTGGATTGGGCCGGGGCTGCGGAGACGGAAGACGGGAGGAGGAGGAGGAGAAAGGCAGTGGAATGCGGTGCTGGATGCCTGTGCGTGAGGACTTGTGCGAGAAAAAGTTTGGGCGTGGTGGAGCGCCGTTAGGGGGTGATGGGGGTGGTCAGGTCTGCGGTCTCTTTCTTGTTAGCTTGGAGTTTTGGTTTCGGAGAGTGGGGGGGAGAAGGTTTGGGATTTTCAAACAGGCCCGCAGAAGCCGCCAGCACGGTTGAGGCCATGGAAAAGCGCAGAGGTCGCCGAATGATGCCCAAAGAACGGGTTTGCATATGAGGCGCGGCTCGAGACCGAATGTCCGTCAAGGCTGACAAAAGTAGCGGTGCGGCAGATAGAGGAACTGAGGCTTGGTGTGTGGCTGTCTGTGGAATGAAAAGTGCTGGTGCTGGAGCTATACATCAATGTCTCTGAAAGCCGCGTCGGAGGATGGTTGCGCTTCTTTGCTGCCTTGCGCTCGCTTTGCGCGGAGATTGTCCGCTAATCCAAGCAGAATCAAGCTTGAAAGCCAGGCGGGAGATATCGGTGAGGTGCTCTCATGAGTAGTTGGAATCGCATGGGCACTGTTGGCGCGGCCTGAGTTGCAGCGCAAGACGTTCGAGTGCTCACCCCGATTCCCTGGCTGACAGCTTCCGGGCCACAACTCAAACGCCGGAGTAGTCCGCTGCCTCTATAACATCTGCGCATACACTAGGTCAGACGGCGAATGCGCATGATGGGTGAGCGGCATTGAGCTCCGTCGCCTGGGCAGCCGACAACCTCAGCGCTGGAGTCACTGTCGCTCGCTGAGGACATCCGCCGCCGCCGCCGCCGGAGCTCTTCTCGAGCAAACCTGCTCCAGTCTCTTGAACAAGAAAATCCAATCCTCAACCATTCCCGCCCTACCTTCAAATCTGCCGCACAGTAACGTGGCGACCTCGCCCCGCGCTGCATTGCCGCCGAACCCTCCTCAAACCGACACACCAATCCCCATCTCATCCGACGAGACACCACGAACCTCTGCACCCGCGCGCTCTCCGCCAACGCGTCCTGAATGCCGGCCGTCCCCGAGCTGGTCCACCCTCCACAGATCCCCGTTTCTCTCTGCCGCTGATCGTCCACCTGCCCGCCCGATCCCCACTCTTTCGTCTGCGAAAAGCCCGCGCTCCGTGCGCGAATCCGCCATGATGCGACGCTCGCATCCCACCTACACAGTCGACTGCGATGCTGGCAAGGCTTCCAACGCTCACGCACACCTCTGATCAGCTTGGAGCCGCCCATCGCCAGCGCCGTTACCGTTACCCTCAGATGCTGCTAGACCGCAGACACTCTACTCCGCTGGTCACGGAGGAAGTGACAGATACCAGAGACAAAGTGGAGGTGATTGATAGTGCCAGAACGAATGCTGGAGAAAGGCGGAGCAGCGTTCCCTTGAGACGACGCAGCGCTGACCGGGCTGCGTGCTCCGCGTGCTGTACCTTCGAGCGCGCGACATGGCATTGACGGTAAATGACTTGGGGCTCGCACCGGAAAGACGGGGGAAGCAGCTGGCTTGTGGTTTTCAGAGCCAAAGTTAGGAGCGCGGACAGCACCCATGAACCATGGAATGACTA